CGCCATGACCACCCACAGCACGGGCATGGAGAGGGTGTAGCTGTAGATGACGTAGACGTAGACGAGGGACAGGAAGCGCCCCACGCCGTCCTCGTTGATCAGGTTGTACCGCAGTTCGTTGAAGATGTTCACCACGAAGAAGGCGATGTAGAGGAAGAAGCCGATGAAGAGCGGAAGGGCCACCCGGCGGGAGTGGACGCCGACCGTCAGCGTCGGGAACTTGCGCTCGAACATCATCCAGTCGTTGAGGAACCTCGTCCACTCGCTGTAGTGGACGAGGGACAGCACGTGCATGGACACCCCCGAGATGCTCATGACGCACACGATCATGATCATGACGTAGAGCATGAGGCCATCCGAGCCCAAGGACGACTTAATGCAGTCGTAGAAGGTCGGGATATTGAAGCCGATGTTGCACACGACCCAGAAGACCAGAAAGGGCGAGAGGGCCCACGAGCGGCGGCCGCGGGCGTAGGAGACCGGCAGGCAGCCCCACAGCTTGCTCCAGCGGACGATGTGCACGAAGGGCGTCGGGTAGGCGGGGGACGCGTAGGACTCGAGGTCGAGGTGTAGCGCCGGGATGGTGTTCGTCACGGCGGCCGGGCCGACGTGGAAGGTCCGCTGCGCCATAGCGACGCTCCTGCGAGTGGCGCGACAGTCGCTGCCGAAGGACGAAGCTTCCCCCACAAAACTTTGCGGAATAGCTCCCGGTCGAAAGGCGACGTCACCTCCGGCCTCCGGAGCTCATAAGACATCGAAAGGCCTTCCGACTCACCCGCCGCAAGAAGAGTGGCAGCGTCGCGGCGTCATAATCCCCGCTGGGTCGTCGCCGCGGCAGAGGATGAGCGGCCGGAGGACTCGGAGAGCAACTGGCCGGGAGAGAGTCCGGAGGGCGCGACCCCGGCGTCCTCGCCTCGCCCGCCCCTCCCTCCCTCCTTGCAACCTCTTGAGGCCATTGTTCTTCTCGTTGCATGCCGGCCAATCAACAGACGCATCTCGCGGTGAAGGACCCGGATGTGATTGCTCCATTAATCTAAAGGAAAATTAAAGACATACTGATACAGTGTAATGTATTTCTAATCATATGACGACTGGCCGCGTGAAACATTAAAACTCTCGAGAGCCTTAATGTAAAGAAAATGAATGATCTTTGTGCACTTTTTGTTTATCGGTTAAATGTATGTGTATATATATATATATATATTATATATATATATATATATATATATATATATATATATATATATATATAATATATATATATATATATATAATATATATATATATTATATATATGTATATGTGTGTGTGTGTATGTATGTATGTATGTATGTATAATACATGCACACACACTATTGGGAAAAGGCGTCACCAAAGAATCAGTGCAAACTAACCTTTCAACCTTGAAGATGTCTAATTATTGATCACTTTCAATTAAATAAACTTGTCTCGCAAATGAAAAATAGTTATATAATTATCAAAATAAATAAGAATGAAATTAAAAGCTATAAGCAGCTCTGAAATTCAATTTTCAAATTATTCTCGCCATGGCTTCCGTGTGTGTAGGGTGTCGTATGAAACCAAGTTATAAGAAATTATTTTGAAGACGATGGGGCTAGCTTAAAACTATTACGTGACCATGGAGTGCAACCCCCTCAAGTGCCTGCGAAAGGTCGTCGCGACGCCGCTCGATGCCGAGTCTGCCCGACGCTCTCTCCTGCCGGGAATACTGGAGGAGTCTTTGCTTTCCTGGGCGAGGGTTGGGGAGGGTAATAAAGTGGCTTAATCGGTACCGTGGTTACAGCAGTGGGAAATTTGGTCAGGATCCACCAGCGATCGTGTGAATATCACTTTTATAATATTTTTATTTTCATAATTAAATAACTTTGGTGACGCCTCTTTTCCAAACTTACCCATACATATATGGATATACATATGTATATATATATATATATATATATATATATATATACATATATATTATATATATATATATATATATATATGTATATATATATATATAGATAGATTCATACTTACATATATATAACGTAAGTGTGCAAAACGCTTACTGACAGCATCATTTGCATATCCTCAGCATACTGCATTGGTCGCGGGAGAAGTCATCGGTATGGTTTTCCATTCTGTCTTCTGATTTGAGAAACAAGGTGTAAGTTACACATTCCTCTGGCAGGGTGTCTAACGTAGGTCTTCCATTGCGGTCCAGAGGCCGGATTTGCTAACTCAATTACGATGGTAAAATCGCTGGTAATTAAAGTTACAATCAGAAACTTACCATCGAAGTTACCATGGTAAATTTTCCAGTGGTTGGAGCACCGGTAAGCCTGCTGGAAATTTCTGGGAAGACGATGTCATTACGTGTTATCTCGTCTGAACATCAATATTCAACAAAGGTTTTATTTTGTTTTTTTATAACTGATATGGTTAGTGTGATGGCAAACACATATCGCAAAATGGGCAAGAATGAGTTTGAAATATTTTCTTTTTTTGACAATAAATGGCGAAGAATTTTAAACTGTTTGGACCGATTCTTTGCTCGACAATCATGAGAATACATAAACAAAACTGGACTGTCTCGCGTTTTGTTTAAACGTCTTGTGATTGGCCGAAGGAACCGAAAAGTTTATGTAAGACGCTCGCTGATTGGTGGAATTGCTTTAGTAGAGTCCTCTCTTGGCTACCACTAGAATGAGTCAATTTACGTTTGTAAGACAGTCGATGCAAGTTACCATCTCTTTACCATCATCTGATAGACGCGATGGTAAGTGGCCGCTGGTAAATGCCGTACGATTGTATGTTAGTGAATCCTCAAACACACACACACACACACCAGTTGTAGCTTGCATGGCTGAACTGCCTCGTTGTGTAAGCTATTAGCTTGTAACACTTAAAACTCACACACAGACAGACACACACGCACACACATACACACACACACACACTATATATATATATATATATATATATATATATATATATATATATATATATATATATATATATATATATATTTGCATATACATCTGTATGTATATATATAACACATACACCGCATCAGTGTATTCAGCAATTCACCGATCTCTCCCTCTATATTTACCACCACTTAGGCGGCCAAGGCGGCGGCGCTGGCTAATGTCGGTCGGACGGGCCTTTGAAGCGTCCCCTTCGTCGCCCCCGCGTCCTCTACGCCCCCTCCCCTCCCCCTCCCCACACACACGCTCGAGTGTCTCCTCCACTCGCCCCCCCTCCTCCCTCCTCCACCGACGCGAAAATCCCGATTAAGAGCAAGAGGTTTCGAGCGCAACATGAAGGCGACGCCAGCGCCACCTGAAGGGGAGCCGCAGACTGGAAGGAATTAGCGGTATTTCGGTCTCCGGTCGTGGCGTCTGGCGCGGCTGAGCTTGCCTTGGGGTGCGAATTGACAGTCTATATATACACATATATACATAAGCATATATATACAATATATATAATATCGCTTTGATATTTATGTAAATGTGGAATCATGTAATTCTACCCATTTGTATATCTTTATATTTATCAATCTATCTGACTATCAATCTATTCTTCCGTCCATCAACGCAAGTATATGCATGCATTTGGGCACGTGTGTGTGTGTGTGTGTGTGAACGTGTGTGGTTATGCATCTGTGCACATAGATTCACGTGTCTGAGCACCGTTATGAACATAGTCTTCTATATCTGGAAAACGGCATTTGCTGAAAATATAAACAAGTGAAAAGCAGATGAATAGCAAGAATACGAATCAAGAGAGGCATCCTCAGGGAGAGCGAAGGGAGGAAGAGATGTCACAGCCCGTCTGAACCTGCGCACGACTGCCCCTCTCTAGGCAGAAGACCCTCTTACGTCACCAAACCTCCCTCACTTTTCCTATGCCATCTGTCGGTCAGAAAAAAAAACGCAGGTGAAGTGAGCAGTCCGTCTAGTGAGGTCCAGTGAGAGGAGGGGAGCGGGAGGAGAGAGAGGGGAAAGAGGGAGAGCAGGTTCTGGAAGACTTTGAGAGGGGGAGGAGACAATGCCTTCCCGTCAGGAGGTCCTTCTGAAGAGTCCTCCGGGTATTGTTGGGTCCTCCGGCGATAACAGGATACTCTTTCGATTACCAATACGTTGCATTAGGGGCTGGGACGAAGGTTATCTGATGGCTGGCCGACGGCGATGGTGAGGAGATATGGTGCCGTGATACAGTGCCATACAAGTGTCTCCAAAACTCAGGTGGACACTTGTTGAATCCTCCGTTCGCTGGACCAAGAAAGAGGCTGGGATATCGTGGTAAAAGTTTGTTTTATTGATATTGTCTTATGACATACTGGAGGTTATCATTGGAATGATCTCTTTTTCCAAAACAAATTTGTTGACGGTTGAACAATCAAATTATCATTATCGTGATTATCATCATTGCCATTATTATCATTATCATTTTATGGTCATTATTGTCATTCTCATCATCATTATCATTATCATTGTCATCATTATCATTAACATTATTGTTATTATCATGAATATTATTATGATTATCATCATTACCATTATCATTATCATCTTATGATCATTATTGTCATTCTCATCATCCTTATCATCATCATCATCATCGTTGTCATCATTATCATGAACATTATAGCCATCATCATGAACATTATTGTCATTATCATCGTCATAATCACCAGCATCCTTATCATCATTATTACCATTTTTTTATCGTTATTATCATTAGAATTACTATTTATCCTTATCAAATTTAGTGTCATTAGTATCCTTGCCATTGTCATCATCACTTATCATTATTTTAGTCATTATTGTTATTGTCATTATTACTATCATTATTATCATCATTATTATCGTTAATATTATTATTTTATTATCATTACTATTATTATTACTATTATTATTATTATTATATTACATTATTTATTATCATTATCATTGTTATCCTTATTTGTTCTCATTATTATTATAATCATC